TTTCATTCATTTCATTCATTTCATTCATTTCATTCACTTCATTCATTTCATTCATTTCATTCACTTCATTCATTTCATTCATTTCATTCATTTCATTCATTTCATCATTTCATCAATTCGTGAATTATGAGAATGAAAAAATATATATGAGAACGAAGAATAAGAATGATGACTAAGAATGATTATTGAGATTTATGGAAGAGGATGATTGAATAAGACTGACGAATGAGAATGATGAATGATGAATGATGAATGATGAATGATGAATGATGAATGATGAATGATGAATGATGAATGATGAATGATGAATGATGAATGATGAATGATGACTGATGAATGATGAATGATGAATGATGAATGATGAATGATGAATGATAAATGATTAATGATTAATGATGAATGATTAATGATGAATGATTAATGATGAATGATGAATGATTAATAATGAATGATGAATGATGAATTATGAATGATTAATGATGAATGATGAATGAGACTGAATAATGGGAGTGATGAATGAGAATCATGAATGAGAATGGTGAATGGTGAATGACGAATGATGAATGTTGAATGATGAATGATGAACGATGAATGATGAATGAGAATGATAATGAGACTGAAGAATGAGAGTGTTGAATGAGAATCATGAATGAGAATGAGAATGATGAATAAGAATGATGACTAAGAATGATTATTGAGATTTATGGAAGAGGATGATTGAATAAGACTGAACGAAATGAACGAAATGAACGAAATGAACGAAATGAACGGAATGAACGAAATGAACGACTTGAATGAAATGAATGAGAATGAAATCTCATTCATCATTCTCATTCATCATTCGTCATTCATCTTCAATCACTCATCATACATCATCATCATCATCATCATCATTCATCATTCATGCAATGGGGTGCTCATATGACTAAATTGGCGAGTCGACTTAGTTCTGCTGCTTATGCGGTAAGAAGAATCAGACAATTAACAGACGTGGCAATGGCTAAACTTGTCCATTTTAGCTATTTTCATAGCATTATGTCGTATGGTATTTTGTTATGGGGCAAAGCAGCTGATATAAATACAATATTTACTTTACAAAAGAGGGCCATTCGCTCCATTTATGGTATGGGTTCCAGGGAGTCATTGCGAGAGTGTTTTAAGGAATCAAATATCCTCACCGTTGCTTCTCAATACATTTATGAAAATATCATCTATGCCAGAAGGAATATAGACAGTTTCAAAAGAGTTAGTGATTGCACTAATAAAAGCTTACGTAACAATAACAAACTGATTTTACCTAAATGTCGTTTGGCTAAAGTTAGTAATTCGTTTTATGGCAATTGCGTAAGGTTTTACAATAAAATACCAGAGTCTGTTATAAATCTGCCAGAAAAAAGATTTAAATGTCAAATAAAACAGTACCTTTGCAAAAAAGCTTACTATAAAATTGAAGAATTCGTTAACGATAATAATGTTTTTATAGAAAAACTTTAAATCTATAGCACTGACAATATTATCTGATTACATTAATAATGAGTGCGTAGCGACTTCTATATTGATTATCGCATGCCTCTAACTTATTATACTGTAATTATTTATATAAAAAAAAAATCTAAAAAGACATTAAAAAGAGTAACACACAAGTTTCTTGCTCATTCTTCTTGTGATGAATCTGCATTCCGAATGAGTGGTAGAATCAAAATATGACTATTCAAAAGTGCTTGTAATGAGTTTATTTGAATAAAGATGATTTCTATTTCTATTTCTATTTCAATCTTCATTCACTTTCATCCATCATTCATCAATCTTCATTCCCGTTCTTCATCATTCTCACCTCAAAAGCATTATTTATATTACTAAAATCCTTTGAATTTCTTTTCACTTTGAAAATAAGTGATGTGTCATCAGCAAACAATACAATGTCAAGTATGTTTTGAAACTGGTATGGTAAGTCGTTTATGTAAACAAGAAAAAGAAATGGGCCGAGGACAGAACCCTGGGGTACACCCATTTTTATATATGACACCTTAGATTTGCTTCCTTTAATGTCTACTACTTGAATTCTATCGCACAGATATGATCCAATGAGTTCTAAGGACTTCTCTCTAATTCTGTAATGTTCACTTCGTACAGTCACTTCAGTCACTTAGGCTAACATGTATCTGGACGGTAGTAGGTAGTAGTAGTAGTAAAATTATAGGAGGACTTATAGAACGCATAATCATTTTAATAATATAACCGGACGAAAAAATAAATGATAACGACCTCAAATCAACATTTGTGACGAGTGAAAATTATAAGATGTGAAATCCAGAGCCGTAAAATAGTAATAAATAAAAAAAAAAGAATATTTACTTGTACCCTTCTGATTGAGAATGCACTGTATTAATATTACAGGTAGGTTTATTATTGTAAAAATCATAATAAAATGAAACATCAAATTTCGATATGTTTTTATTCGTTCCATATATTGTCTTACAATTTACATGTTTCAAAGTATTTATGTTTCCGGATCACTGCAAGTTTCCTTAAATATAACATGTAGGAATAATACGTCTGCTATGATGACTTTCATATGTATATATGTAATAATATCTCAAAACAATTAACACAGCGCCATCTAGTCCCAAGCTAAGTAGAGCTTGTGTTATGCGTACTAGACAACTGATATAAATAAATAAATAACCCTGGACAACTAACACTGCGCCATCTAGTCCCACGGTAAGTAGAGCATGTGTTATGGGTACTAGACAACTGATATAAATAACCCTGGACAATTAACACAGCGCCATCTAGTCCCACGGTAAGTAGAGCATGTGTTATGGGTACTAGACAACTGATATAAATAACCCTGGACAATTAACACAGCGCCATCTAGTCCCACGGTAAGTAGAGCATGTGTTATGGGTACTAGACAACTGATATAAATAACCCTGGACAATTAACACAGCGCCATCTAGTCCCACGGTAAGTAGAGCATGTGTTATGGGTACTAGACAACTGATATAAATAAATAAATAACCCGGGACAATTAACACTGCGCCATCTAGTCCCACGGTAAGTAGAGCTTGTGTTATGGGTACTAGACTACTGATATAAATAAATAAATAACCCTGGACAATTAACACAGCGCCATCTAGTCCCACGGTAAGTAGAGCTTGTGTTATGGGTACTAGACTACTGATATGAATATATAGATATATTCTTTTGTAAATACACCCAGATGGACAATTAACACAGCGCCATCTATATTCTTGCGTTAGTTACAATAATTGCATGGTTTAATTATAATATATAAAATATATAAACGTATCAGAACAGAAACGATTAGGTCCCAATCTGATAGGCTTGTTATTTTTCATCTCATAACGTTGCTAGGCAACGGTGTTGCCGCGCGCTATCCGTAGAATCGCCACACATAATATACAATTAGATCGATACAAACAATCATAATCACGGATTAAGTAGATTACACTATTTGCTTGTGTTATGGGTACTAGACTACTGATAAATAAATGTGTGTGGTTGGTCTAAACCGCAGTAACCCTGGACACATTAACACAGCAACCGCACAACGTCGTTTCATTTAAATTTAAGTACAAAATTTCTACTACTCCCAAAGCAAACAGAAAGCAGCTTTAACACAATCAACAGTGTGTATTGTAAACATGTACAACAATTATTTGAAAAGAATACGAGGTGAGTTTCTTGTCAATAATAGATATGAATAAAGATGTTTTTTTGGATACAAAATAAGTAAATACATTTTACATATTATTATTGGTTGCGTATTAAATAAAATTACTTATAAACTTATAGATGTATTTAGTCACAATTTAATAAAAAATATATGTCAAAAATTGTATATAAAAAATATATGTAAAAATGTTTGTGTTCGTCTGGTACGGGCAGCGACAGGTGGAGATAAATGAAATAACGAGTCCAGTGGTGGTTATGTACATATATTCTTGCGTTAGTTACAATAATTGCATGGTTTAATTATAATATATAAAATATATAAACGTATCAGAACAGAAACGATTAGGTCTTAATCTCACAGGCTTGTTATTTTTCGTCTCCTAACGTCATTCGCCAACGGTGTTGCCGCGCGCTATCCGTAGAATCGCCACACATAATATACAATTAGATCGATACAAACAATCATAATCACGGATTAAGTTTCGAACACTGATTACACTATTTGCTTTTGCAACATCGTATGCTGGTGGTCACTCTATTCTACCAAATTTGATTTTAAATAAATGTGTGTGGTTGGTCAAAATAAACGGTGCCTTTCGGATTAGTTGGGGGAACACCCTTGTAAGACTCAAGAATTCGCGTTTAAATGATTCCTCCAAGATTTCTGTGGCCGAAAGAGGTTTCAAAACTTTGAAGGAGACCTTAGAGGCAGCACTCTTTAATTTTGAATTTGGAGGTTATTTCAAAAGCGACCGAAATATTTTAGCACAATGATGTGCACGAGCGGTTGCTCTAACCAACCGAACCCAACGACCGAAATGATCGTGATTCGCTACGATCGGAGATGGCATTTCCGGATGTTCGGTTAGCAAAAATGTTAACGCGTGTTCGGGTTTTAGTTCCTCAATTACTAGTGGAGCAATGACCGCAGGCTCGCGAGGCCATTACGGCTGGCAACGGCAGTGAAATAGGGTAATATAAATAAAATTACTTACTAAACTTATAGATGTATTTAGTGGTAGCGTATATGACACAATGTAGCAAAACAATATAATAAAAAATATATGTCAAAAATTGTTATTAAAAAATATATGGTTTAAAATAGAAATATCTATAAAAAATGAGGAATAAATGTCGCCAACAATTATATTGATTAATTATACGTATAAATAATGACCGCATCAAATTTAAAACTGGATACAAAATGTTTGCACGGTAAGAGGAATCGAAGCCGCGACCATCGGTAATCCTCTAGTCCTCCGAGGCCGTCATAATGACAGTTTGGACTTTGTTAACATGGTTTAATCACACGGCCAGACAATACTCTCGATCCAGGGAACGTAGGGCGCGACTCGAGTGTATATACCAGGCCGTCCGCCCATGCCGCACGGCTTTCCAAACGACGTGATCCCCACAATGCTCTGTAGACAAGGGAACTTCGAATGCTCCGCGATCAGAGGTCCACCGCTGTCACCCTGCATTTAAAAAAACATACGTGAAACAAAAGTTTTGTGCCCCTTTTTACGGGAGTGTGAAATTTCTCACACTTATAGTTTACTAGACTCGCCCCGACATCACCCAGATGTACATGTATTATACATATAAACCTTCCTCTCGAATCACTCTATCTATTAAAAGAAACCACTTCAAAATCCGTTGCGTAGTTTTATAGCTTTAAGCAAACATAGGGACGGACAGACATGGACAGCGACTTTGTTTTATACTATATAATGATGATAAAGCTGAAAATTTTGAACGAGGCAACATTAATTATCATATATTATATGATAACAACCCAGGACATTTAACACAGCGCCATCTAGTCCAAAACTAAGCAGAACTTGTGTAATGGGTACTACACAACGGATATTTTTTTTTTGATAGATACAATTTTTGTTCTTGAACGTGAACAAAAATTGTATCTATCAAAAAAAAACACCTCTCAAACGCTCACAAGAACTAGGGGTTGTTTTAAGTATGCTGCAGCAAAAATTTGGAATGACTTGCCCCCCCCGCCAGTTCGTTCATCACTGATTTTATCCTTTTTTTATCCAATATTTAGGCGTAAATGTAGCAAATAGTTGCTGCAAGAACACTCCCTCGTTGGGGGAAGGGGATTGTTAGTAATGTGGATTGATAACCCCATTGCTAGCAATGTACCATGTCAGGTCGACCTCCACGCGGTTCCCCCTGGAAACCATCGTGTTAAACTCCTGGTGAATTTGTCACGATGGGCTAACTGACCTGACCTCATGCTCAGCTTATCATCCTCCACTGGTGCCCCGCCAGCGTAAACCGTTAGCGCAGGCGGGTGTACCATTTCATTATCATTCACAAAAAAAAAAAAAACGTTTCGTAGTATTGTAATATTGGGGAGAATGAAGAAAAAAAAAATTATTATGCATAGACGACGACCTCGATGGTCTAGCAGTCTACCGCACCGCTTTACTTCCGATGGTCGCTCGTTCCATTCCTCGCACGGTACAAACATTTGTATTCATGAGTAGAAATACAAATAGAAATAGAAATAATCTTTATTCAAATAAACTTAATATAAACACTTTTGAATAGTCAAGTTTTTTCATTCTACCGCTCATTCGGAATGCAGAATCATGTATGTATGATTGTTTATATCGGTCTGGATGTTTTCTATTTACAAAATATCTTTTTACGAAAACAAATATCTGTGTATTTTATCAGTTGTCTAGTACCCATAATACAAGCTTTAGTTAGCTTAACTTGAGTCCAGATGGCGCTGTGTGAATTGTCCTGAGATTATTATTATTATTATTATTAGGTAAATTATTTTACCTGACACGTATCCTTATTTTGTTTGTAGTCTCCGTAACAAATCTGAGTCGTATAATTTACCCCGAATTTTAGATGTCTTTGTGTGGGGTACTCTTTCGAACATTCAACGCGCGTAAACTTCTGTAATTTCACCTGAAATAAGAAACAGAAATAGAAAGAAAGGAAGAAAGAAAAATAAATTTATTATCAACTAATAAAATGTATATATTAAGACGTGAAACAAAAACGTTGTACCCGAGATTTCGACCGCGTGGAATTTAACTTTATTTCTCTAAAATAGAAGTAGCCTAAGTTACTCCTGATTACATCAGCTACCTGATAATAAATGTCCCGTCATAATCGGTCCAGCCATTTCAGAGATTAGCCGGAACAAATAGACAGACAGACAAAAATTGTAAAATATGTTATTTTGGTGTATGTACCGTATTTATCTTTTTGTAGATAAAACTTAATATTCATGATGATTGCACTTAGAATGAGTTCGTAGCGGTTTCAGATTCAAATTCAAAATTCATTTATTCATGTAGGACATTTTAGCCGCTTATGAACGTCAAATTTTTACATTATAATTTTATTTTTTCCCTACCGTCCAGTTCGGTATATAGATCCAATTGAGAAGAACTGGCAAGAAACTCAATTGAATTACTTTTTTTTTTAAAGCCAGTTTATTTACAATGTATATTTATATAGGTGTCCCCCAGTGTAGATATACCCCATAGATCCTCTGTTTTTTTATTATTAAGCTGTTTAAATATTCTATGTTGTATTAATTTCTATCTTGATTATCGTATAACTTGTTATTGTGCAATTACTTATTTAAAATAACATCTATCCAAAAGAGAAATACAAAATTTCTTACTCGTTCTTGTGCTGAGTCTGCGTTCCGAATGAGTAGTAGAATAAAAAATATGACTATTCAAAAGTCCTTGTATTGAGTTTATTTGAATAAAGATTATTTTTATTTCTTTTTTACCTTTTGTAGTACATCAGCGTTTTTTCGGATGTACCCGAGGGCACCCCAGCCAACGGCAGTGGCGTACTCGTCACTCACGGGGAAACCACTGTGCAGACATGCTGGCAGTACATTCAGGTTGTATTGTATTCTGTAAATACATTATAATAAAGTAAAAACCCAGGAAAAGCTGAGAAAATGAGACAATCGTGAAAATAATAATAATAACAACACACACTGCACATACTTGGTTTCACACAAGTGTATTACTCTACACACACACACACATTATACATACTTTTACACTCCGATCGGTATATAACACAGTTTGTCCTAATTGACCATCATTGCAGCCTCAACCATTCAGAAAAAAACTAAAATATTACATTTAATTATTATATGTACACAAATATATGTATATGTACATTATGGGATACAATTAAATAGTTACAAGCCCAAATATCGGGCTACTCGCGCAAATACTCCAATAGACTATTGCTATTTAGTAAAAAAACATATGCATGATGACTAGGGCCCTCACAGGACACTGCAAATTGAACAAACATATGGAAAACCTAGGCCTATGCACGACAAAAATCTGCAGATTTCGCCAAACTGAAGAGGAAACGCCACTACACATCCTATGTGGTTGTAGCCCACTCATGCATAAACGAAATATCTCCTTTAGAAAGTTTACACTCTATCCTGAGGAGATAAAAACCATCGCTCCTAAGAATATCCTTCAATTCTTGTCCCTGGCGGGTCTAGGTAGCGAACTCTGAAAAAGGGCGAGCACAATAGATCTATGTAGGTCGCAGTGTTACAGGTGCTACAGGCACCTGACATTAAACAGCCCCAATCAATCCAATGAAAAAATATATACATCAAAATAATAATAGCATTTAATAATGTCTAGTAAGACAAATCCAATATTGTGTACTAAGCACTGCCGTGTCTAAACTGTGTCACCCCACCTTACATTTTCCTATTGTCATTTAGTATATAAGATCAATATTTTTATGTACATATTGTCACTCTATTACCATCTGTAATATACATCGTCTCAACCAACAACATAGTATCATTACCCCGCAAAAGATATAGTTAAAAAACCCGCATGTTAGTTTTTTATAATGAGTAATGTGAAAATTTATAATGAGTAAATTGCGACTCTGAAGTGGCAATGGGCAGGGCACATAGCTCGTAGGACAGATGGCCGTTGGGGCAGTAAAGTCCTCGAGTGGCGACCACGGATCGGAAGACGCAGCGTGGGAAGGCCTCCAGCAAGGTGAACCGATGATCTGGTCATGATCGCTGGAAGGCATTGGATGCGAGCAGCGCAGGACCGATCGTCGTGGAGATCTTTGGGGGAGGCCTATGTCCAGCAGTGGACGTCTTCCGGGCTGCGATGATGATGATGATGAACGAGTAATGTGGGCTGCCTGAAAACTAGCGCTGTATAGGTGCACCGAGCTGACAGTAACAGCTGAGGCAGCTCCTATTGACAACTTTATATGTTATATTTTATTTCTTGCTAGCTACTCGCCCTGGCCATATCAATCTATAATAATATAATAATAATAATCTCGGGACAATACACACAGCGCTATCTAGTCCCAAGGTAAACTAGCTAAAGGTTGTGTTCTGGATACTAGAGAACTTATACAAATACATAGATAAAAAAGTTATATGTATGTGTATATAATATGTAAATTGGCTAAGGTTGTCTGGAAGAAATCGCTATTTAGCGATAAGGCCGCCCATTGTTACTTTACATTATAAATATGTTGTTTTTCATTTCATATATAACGTATATATATTAATTTATTCTTCATTCTCATTCTCATTCATCATTCTAATTCATCATTCTCATTCATAATTTTCAATCATCAGTCTCTTTCTTCATTCTCATTTTTATGCTTCATTCTCATTCATCATTCTCGTTCTTCATTCTCATTCATCATTCTCATTCTTCATTCTCATTCTTATTCTATATTCTCATTCATCATTCTTCAGTCTCATTCGTCGTTCTCTATATTCATAATCATTCATCATTCTGTTTTTTCATTCTCATTCTTTTTCTTCATTCTCTTTCATCAGTCTCGTTCATCATTCTCATTCATCATTTTCATTCATCAGTCTCATTCATAATTCTCAAACATCATTCTTAATCATCAATATACAGTCTCATTCATCATTCTCTTATCTTCATACTCATTCTACATTGTCTTTTTTCATTCTCATTCGTCATTCTCATTCATCATTCTTATTCTTCATTCTCATTCTCATTCATCATTCTCATTCTTCATTCTCATTCATCATTCTCATTCATCATTCGCATTAATAATTTTCATTCATCAGTCTCATTCGTCATTCTCATTCATCATTCTCATTCGTCATTCTCATTCATCATTCTTATTCTTCATTCTCATTCTTCATACGCTCATTGTTTTTAATATTCTCATTCATCATTCTCTTTCATATTTATCATTCATCATTCTCTTTGTTCATTCTCATTCATCATTCTCTATCCGCATTCTCATTCATCAGTCTTATTCATTCATCCTCATTCTTCAATATCATTCATCATCCTCGTTCATCATTCTCATTCATCATTCTAATTCATCAGCCTCATTATTCATTCTCATTCTTCATTCTCATTCATCGTTCATCAGTCTCAATGTTTTTAACATTCTCATTCATCATTCTCATTCATCAGTCTTATTCATTCATCCTCATTCTTCAATATCATTCATCATCCTCGTTCATCATTCTCATTCTTCATTCTCATTCTTCATTCTCATTCTTCATTCTCATTCATCGTTCATCAGTCTCATTGTTTTTAATATTCTCATTCATCATTCATTATTTTTTTTTGTCAGGACAATTCACACAGCGCCGTCTAGACAAGGTAAGGTAGCTACAGCAGCCACATATAAATGGGGCTGCTGTAGCTACCTTACCTGACACGAATGTATAGATACATATTTTTTTCGTAAATACATACATAATATTATACATAGAGAACACCCGGACCGATAAAAACAATCATAGAATAAAATAGAATAGAATATCATTTATTCAAATAAACTTAATTTAAGCTCTTTTGAACAGTCAACAATTTTTTTAACTCTACCGCTTATTCGGAAAGCTGTTTCATCACAAGAAACTTGTGTGTTGCTCTTTTAAACAATCCTTGAAGTTCACATTTTACAAGTCGAAACGTGTGAATACAAACTACCAACCAGCACTAATTTTTTGGGTCAAATATAAATATACAATAAGATTAAATCAGTCGTAGTGATAAGAGCAGACCAGTCCCTTCAAGCAGCACTCGTTCCCGAGTATGACGGATGAGCCAGCCATCACTGCGCTCGACCATATTTTAGGGACCCCAATGACCCGGCCAACCACGCCGCCACATGTCTGGACATTTCAGTGAGTAAGACTACTCATTCCACTCGACCTCGTCATAGCTACTTATTTAAATTTATTGTATGGTAGTTACAGTATTCGCACTTTACATAAGGATGCATGCGGCAATCACTACAAAAGCCGCTCGCTATCATATCATCATAAAAACAAATGTTTGCACCGTGCGAAGAATAGAACCCGCGACCATCGGAAGCGGAATGCTACACAACTAAACCACCGAGGTCGTCAAATGTATGTATCTAATGTAAATCTAGAACTTACTTTTGTTCAGTCTTCAGCAGTGCGATGTCATTGTACTTGGATGGTGGATGGTAGTCGGGATGCTGTATGATGTTCTTTATCTTATAGAATTGGAGCTGCTCACTTCGTCTCAATAAACCGACAGACACTTGAGTTACGGATCCACTGGAAGCATTCAAGTTTTGCTATTAGTCAAAATGTTGTTAATATTATAAACACGAAAGTTTGTGAGTATGGATGGATGTTTGTTACTCTTTCTTACTTGTACTAATGTTAAACTAAACATGAAAATATTGATAAATATTGATTCTAGTAAACTTTACAAAAATAATATACTGCAGATTTACATCAGGATAACACATGGGTTATAATTTAAAGAGATATCATATGAATTGGGAGAAATATAGTAATGCATATAAAGTAAGTGTGCTGCAGACTATTTTGCGTGGCCCAATTAATTTTACCATAGTTAAATAGACAAATAATATTAAAGACAAACAATATTAATCTATTCTCAATTTGACCACAGACTATAACAATAAATAAAGGAGTATATATGCGTATGTGTCAAATAAGTAGTAGAGTGTGAATGATTGTTTCTATTTGTTTAATGTATTTTTTAGGCATAATTTTAAATAAATATTTGTGTGGTGATTTCAATGTTGACATTTTATCACATAATACCACAAAAACTAAATTAATGAGTTTATTTTATCTGTTGATAAACTTCCACGAACCCACTCGTATCACTGCCACGTCTGCTACTTGCTTGGATAACATATTTAGTGCATGTATTATATATATATAAACCTTCCTCTTGAATCACTGTATCTATTAAAAAAAACAAAATTGGGAAAATTAATTTATTAAAAAGAGACGACTAGTTTTAAAGATTTAAATATCATACATAAATTAGATTTTTATCTTCATTTTAACAAACTTTATACAGATTTATACAGATCAATATTGATAAGTGCGCGAAATTAACAAAAAAACTATCAGTATTATTAACAAAACAAAATTCAAATGGGCTTAAATAATATATTATTTCATTTATATGTAAAAAAAATAACAATACAATGATTTAAAAAAGCTCAAAAACTTTTAAAAAGTTCCTGTGCTCTAATTATCTTAAAAAAATTAAAGTGATGAGACAGCAATATTATTAACAAAGAAACTGGCAATGTCCATATAACGATTTTACGTTAAATTATAAAAAAACTAGTGTCCACAAAAGATTCAATATTTTTGAAAATTTTTCATCATCATCTGATATCTTCCTTTTGGACTCCCATTTATTTGTGTTGTTTCTTGTCGTAATATGTTTTTCGACATTCCAATTACTAAAACATTTAAACAATTAAATTTAAAAAATACTTTTCTTACCATATCATCTTTCACACAGTCCATCTGTCTCTTTTTCGGCCTTCCTCTGCCCTTATAACCATCCACATTCATATGTAACACCTTTCTTAAAATATTATCCTCGTTCCTACGCATTACATGTCCTTACCATGATAGACGATTACTCTTCAACCTCTTCGACACCGGCGCCACTTTTATACTTCCTCTAATGTATTCATTCTTTATCTTATCCATTCTTCATCTAAAAGTGCTTCAATGTAAGTTTATTTGAATTAATGATTTTGTATTTCTATATATAAGTATCATAGAATGTTCAAAATCTACCCTGTATCATCGTAAGCATAGATATTATATTATATTAGAGTCTGTTAGTTTTCTGTTCCCGCGCGTTCCCTTCCCCTCCCTAACTAGTACTGAACCGACTGTACGGCGACTTGACGCGCGCGCATTGTGTTGTGAATTAAAATAAATTAGAACTGTGAAACCTACTGTGAAACTGGAAAGCTAGCGAAGATACGTTCGAGACCCAGAAGCCCAAGAAATCCGCAGAACTATAAAGGTAAATGACTGACGCTTCCTTATTTTTCCCTATATATATACAGAGAGTAAATTCCCTGACATTTTGGTGGCAGAGTAGTTTCCCAAAGAATAGAATAAATAGAGTCTGTTATAAATCTGCCAGAAAAGAAAATCATTTATTCAAATAAACTTAATTTAAGCACTTTTGAAAAATTTTAAATCATAACAATTTGTTTTTTATCTACCATGTTGATTGTCGCATCGTTACACTGTAATTATTTATATGAAAAAAAAAAAACATCAAAAGAACGAGCAACACACAAGTTTCTTGTGTGTGATGAATCTCATTTTAAATAAAAATATGACTCAAAAGTGCTTGTAAGTTTACATTTACAAAAACTTTATTTTTTGAATAGTATTAAATTAAGTAACACAGGATTATAATTAAAGGTATTCAATATTTGTTACAATTGAATGTATATAAGATTGTATTGTGTTAATCTTACCTTATAAAAGTAGACATTATCAAAGATAAAAAATATTAACAATAAGACCACAGACTATAACAATAAATAAAGGAGTATATATGCGTATGTGTCAAATAAGTTAGAGTGTATTACATACATTTTTTAGATAATTTTAAATCGTCATAGTGACGTTTTTACATTTTTATCTGATAAACACTAATAGTTTTATATATATATATTTTTGATTTGACAAAAGATACAATGTATCTTTCTAAATCTTCTAAAATGTAAAATAGCCACTTTAGTGGCTTATAATAAAATAACAATACAATGATTCAAAAGAACAGTTTACATGGTAACAGCTTTCCAAATGAATATAAAAAAATTGTGACATAACAAATGATTCTATTAATTTTTTGTTTAAATAGTGATATAAGTAATTTGACTGCAGATTTAAACTGCTAACAAAGACAAAGTCTCTTTTTCGGAAAGCAATTAGAATTGGTAATTGTTCATCCTAGAACATGTCCACAATAGTTTTCCACCGGCAGTGAATTAATTATACAATTATTTTTTTATCTTAAATACAATATTGACATTCATCTAAGTTTCAATTAACATTTTGTATTTCTATATATAGATCATAGAATGTTCAATATGATGTTCAGATATTAATTATATTAGAGTAACGTTGTCAGCTGCTTCAATAGAAAGTCAGTTAACAGAGGCGGGTCTATGATAATTGCAAGAAATAATATTAAAGTAAACATAGAAAAATCGTCTCTTACAAGTCTCTGGAGTAGGTGCAGTGTCCGGCGGTGAGTATGAAGTAAGAGCTGATGACCGCTCCACCACACAACCACTCACGAGTCTCAGCATCATCACCATACCCGAGTAAAGCCTAAACAGAATTAAACAGAATTGAAGTCAAAATCATAGTTAATGTAAAGGTCAAGGTTAAAATTAAAATCAAGATCAAAATCATAGTTACAATTAAAGTATGTAATTAAAAGTATTCGAATCATCAAGTCAGAATTTAAGTCAAAATCAGGGCAAAACAAAGTTGTTATCAAGGTCAAAATTAAAATCATGGACAAAACCTAAGTAACATCAAAGTCAAAGTCTAAGTTAAAATCAAAGTCAAAATTAAAGACAAAATCAAGGTAAAAAAGTTGTCATCAAAGTTAAAATTAAAATCATAGTCAAAACCAAAGTAAAATCAGAGTATAAGTCTAAGTCTAAGTGAAGTCAAAATTAAAGACAAAATCAAAATGACATTCAAAGTTTTTATGTAAATTCGTCATTACCCAAGATAATTCCGCTCGGTCAGAGTTGCCGGCACAGCTGGTACATATTATACTTTAGTAAAATGACGATGAAAAATATATGATTGTATTTATGAGTATAACTATTTGTATCAGTCTAGGTGTTTTCTATGTATTGTATGTACAAAAAATTGCGACTCTGAAGTGGCAATGGGCAGGACACATAGCTCGTAGGACAGATGGCCGTTGGGGCAGTAAAGTCCTCGAGTGGCGACCGCGGACCGGAAGACGCAGCTTGGGAAGGCCTCCAGCAAAGTGGACCGACGATCTGGTCAAGATCGCTGGAAGGCATTGAATGCGAGCAGCGCAGGACCGATCGTCGTGGAGATCTTTGGGGGAGGCCTATGTCCAGCAGTGGACGTCTTCCGGGCTGCGATGATGATGATGATGATTTACAAAAAAAACTATGTATTTGTATTAGTTGTCTAGTACTCATAACACAATCGTCAGCTAGCTTAACATGGGTCTAGATGGCGCTGTGTGAATTGTCCTCAGATTATTATTATTTATTATGCTATTAATGCGTAGTGTATAGAACATACCGTGTAGGGAAATTCCAGGGATTTAGCATCTGTACCGCCGTCTATATCATATCCATTACTCTTTGTCCGTCCGTAGAAAATACTGTTAAACCACTCATCCAATCTGGTCTGTTTCACAGCTTCCTCGCATAGATACGTCAATATGTTCTGAAACAGCATACAATCTGAAATAGACAATTAAATGAGGTAGATGCAAACCAAGGAAGTTGTGGGAAGATGTAATTGCTGGAGACATGGTGGAGAGCGAAGTCTCTGAAGACGATTGTCTGGGGAAAAGTGGCGGAAAAAACAAGGAAAAATCACCCCACCACCATAGGGTATATATAGCTACGAGGAGAGAGAGAGAGAGAGAGAGAGAGAGAGCTAAATAATCTTATCTTATTAATATTATAAACGCTAAGTCAATATTTCCCGAAACTATATATGTATATATATTGGGAGAATAGACTGACCAACCTTATTGTCCCAAATTTGAATTGAAAAATGAATCTGTATTATTGTAAACATGTACAACATTTATTTGAAAAGAATACGAGCTGAGTTTCTTGTCAGTTCTTCTCATCTCGAAATCACTCCGAACTGACGGTAGATTTGACATATCATAAGAGTCTGTAATAGACCTACATGAATAAAGATATTTTGAATTCAGATTTTTTTAAACAGCATGTATTCTTAAATAGAGAATTTATATACTAGCTAAATAATCTTATTAATATTTTAAACGCGAAAGTATGAGTGTGGATGGATGTTTGTCACTCTTTCATCCAAAAATGACTAAATGGATTCTGATTAAACTTTACAGTAATATAGCTTATACAGACTTACGCTTATTTTTGAATATTTAAAAAGTTTGTAGATATTTAAATCTATAACCAGTCGGATGGGCTTCGTTACCTTATCCTCGTACGGTACAAACATTTGTATTGATGAGTATCATTTTTTGTATCGGTTTGCATGTTTTCTATACAAATAGAAAATCATTTATTCAAATAAACTTACATTGAAGCACTTTTGAATAGTCATTACATTTTTTAAAATAAAAAGTACCGCTTTTTCGGAAAGCTGTATCATCACAAGAAGAACGAGCAAGAAACTTGCGTGTTGCTCTTTTAAATAATTTTATTATTACTTTACATTTTTAAGTTTAAATGTGTGAATACAAACCACCAATTAGCACTAATTCAATTAAATACTCAAAAAGAAAAAATATTGAACACATAACCAACTGGTTAAACAATTAATAAGAGGAAATCAGTCATAGTGTATATGTATATTATGTATGTATTTACAAGATAACTAATTGTTAGAACTGATTGATTGACAATCAATATACTGATATGGGACTGGTATGGGAGAATAAGTATGTTTGAACATTCTCCTCATATACGAAACCAAGTAAGTAAGTTCGGCCCTGCCGAGTTGGATTCAAATATACCGAGCCAAATGTGGACATGACAAGTGTTGCGTTCACAACATCGACAGTTGACAATGACTCTGACTACCGCATCAAAGATAACTGTCGTGAAGACCGATACTACAGTGAAAGTACCAGGAGAACATGACTCGCAAGTAGGCTAGAGACTATCGTCGACTGTTGGAGTAATGTGATTTTTCTTTATTCAAATATATCGAACGAAATTAGACATGTCAAGACATGACAATGTTGATATACACAGATGACGGTCGTGACATAGATAACAGTCGTGAGGTTATCTTACCTACCTATACTATGTACAGTGAAAGTACCAGGACAACATGACTCGCAAGTAGGCTCGAGTCTACCGCCTTCAAATATACCGAGCGATATGTGAACATGTCAAGTGTTGCGTTCACAACGTGGACAGTTGACAATGACTCTGACTACCCCATCATAGATAACAATCGTGAAGTTATCTTACTATGACCTATACTATGTACAGTGAAAGTACCAGGACAACATGACTCGCAAGTAATTGGCTCGTTTGTGTGGTTGTGGAGTCTTACTTTTTTCGCCTTTTTAAATATTAAATACCGATATTATATGTGAACAAGTCAAGTGTTGCGTTCACAACATTGACAGTTGACAATGACTCTCACTACTCCATCAAAGATAACAGTCGTGAAGTTATCTCACTATTACCGATACTACAGTGAAAGTACCAGGAGAACATGCCTCGCAAGTAGGCTACAGCCCGCCGTTTTTTAGCTATTGATTAAATATAATTTTTACTTTATTCAAATAAATCGATGACAAAATCTGAATTGATTTCAATTTGCGTTCGCGACATGTATATATATTGACAATGACTCTGACTTATCCATCAAAGAATTGAAAAATGAATCGTGAAGTGTATCTTTTTAAAAGATTACCGATACTACAGTTCTACAGGAGAACATGCCTCGCAAGTAGGCTACAGCCTACCGCCGACTATTGGAGTAATATTTTCTTTATTCAAATATACTGAGCAAAATGTGGATATGACAATGACTGACTGAGTGTACTACTGAATGACTGGGTGTGTAGTCGATATGTTTGCTTGTTGTTATTAACTTACGTTGCCAAGCTTTGACTCCAGGTTTCTCAAAAGGTATGAGGTATGAGGCTCCTGCTGGTAGTGCTGGTTTTATATTCTCGTCTAAAACTCTAATCTGTAATAAAGAAATCCATTTATGAAATTTTATTGCTCTATCATACGGAAAAGAGTGCATGTAAAGGTCTACAAAGAAAGAGCGCGCAAACCTGCGTGTTTTGTAATTATATAGCTCATGAATAGTCTGAAATATATATATATCTTATATATAAGATTCTCGTGTCTCAGTTTCCGTTCCCATACTCCTCAGAAACGGCTTGACCGATTCTCATGAAATTTTGTGAGCGTATTGACTAGGTCTGAGAATCGGCCAACATCTATTTTTCATCTCCCTAAATGTTAGGGGTGGTCCAACTCTAATTTTTTTTTTATTTTAAGGCAAAGCAACGTTTTTCGTGATACTAGTATATATATATATATATAAATATATAAAATAAACTGGTAGTACTAGAAAATAGATAAAGTATTATAACAATGAATCACGATTGGGCGCTCGATTTCCTGCGTAAAATCGAACGTGAAAGAACGAACAGCAGCAGCCAAGCAGTATTGCCAACCATAAAACACTAAAAATCGTAAAAAATAAATAAAACCTAATAAATATTCGTATATTACTCTTCAATTTAGTTCTTTAACCTTGTATTTAAATCAAATTTATGTATATTTCTTTATTCATTTAGGCTCTTATGATATGTCAAATATATAGTTATTCGGAGTGCTTTCGAGCTAAGAACTATTGACAAGAAATTCTCGTAATCTTTTTAAACGTGCTTGTACATTTTTAAAAATAGGTTTATTACAGACTCTTCTGATATGTCAAATCTACCGTCAGTTCGGAATGATTTCGAGATGAGCAGAACTGACAAGAAACTCAGCTCGTATTCTTTTCAAATGAATTTCAAGTTTACAAAAATACAGATTGATTTTAATTTGTATTTACATGTATGGCTGTATACGTACATAAATATATTGTATAGGCAGCGCGCATGCGAACCTGCGCGCGCAACTAAAATATGTCACCTTTCTTGTCTCATATAAAATTAAATTAGATAAACGTTTGCTTTGTTATTTTATTTAAATATATATAAATATAATCCAGATCAAGCCCATAACTGGTGACCCCGCTCTTGGACAGAACCGTAAGGATATAATACATATTTTTAAAGAACAAAATTACATATAAAACACAATTTTACTGATATATATGAACATTATGTCTTTGGAAAATACAATAGGTACCGAACCATCTGAACTGTTTCGAGTCGGAATACGCGTTCCTCCTTTCTGGCCGGAAGCCGAGGGACAATTCGCTGTTTCAAATATTACATCGGATATAACAAAATTTAATTACGTTATTAGACAACTGGATCATCAATTTTCGAAAGAAGTCAAAGATGTTATTATCTCTCCACCTTCCACTGAAAAATATGATAAATTAAAAACAGAGCTTATCAAACGTCTAAGCGCCTCACGTGAAAAACAAGTAAAACAACTTCTCATGCATGAGGAATTAGGAGAATTTACCAACCGTACAAGGATTCTCGAATGGTTGGCATCACTGCTGTATGTATACTGTGATATGTATATGTACTGTGAAGAATATTGTAGAATAAAGGCATCTAAGGACGTATGTATATTTTTTTAAGTAGTTTTACGGCTCTGGAAAAACCTTTAGCATCAAACAATTACACTTATATAGGTAGTGAAACAATGTGTGAAAGGGATGGATAGATGTGTGCGAGAGAATGGGAAACCACGCGGGAAAAACTACAGGAACAAGGGAATACAAAATAAAACAATTGAATTTACGTAATAATAAATGTAATATTAAATATTAATTAATTAGGGAAATAGGAAAAAATATTATATTATTTGCCAAATTAGGGAAATAGGAAAAAAACATTATATTATTTAGTAGCAAATAATATAATATTTTTTTCCAAATAATATAATATTTTTTTCCTATTTCCCTAACAAAAACCCGTAATCTATACATAAATAAAATTGCAGTGTCTGTTTGTAATATTGAAATAACCGTTTTTTACTACATGCATATGAATATAAATATGTTCCGGCTAATCTCTGAAATGGCTGAACCGATTTTGACGGAACTTTTTTTGGCAAGTAGCTGATGTAATAAAAAGTAACTTAGGCTACTTTTATTTTAGAAAAATAAAGTTAAATTCCACGCGGTCGAAGTCGCGGAACAGCTAGTTTATTATAAACACTTAATCGTTCCTCTATACCATAGATACTATGGTTTTATCTATGGATAAGATAACTATTTTTTTATATTACGATGGTGGCAATCCAACATACGGCCCATCTGATGGTAAATGGTTACCGTAGCCTATGGACGCCTGAAGCACCAGGGGTGTCACGTGCGCGTTGCCAACCCTTAAGAAACCTTAATATACCCTTCTTGAAAAACCAAATAACTAATGTTATAAATATGAAAGTGTCTTTATCTCTCATTTTTTATACTACAAGAGACAAACGAGCTTGCGGCTCACCTGATGGTAAGTGATTACCGCCGCCCATGAGCACTCGCTACACCAGGGGAATAGCAAGTACGTTGCCGGCCTTTTAAGAAGGAATAAGCTTTTATCTTGAAGGTTTCAATATCGTATCGGTCCATTGTTACCTTTTAAATTTGCTGATAGGTTGTAGATAGTTAACAATA